ATTCATTTCCTTGCCTTGAACATAAGAATTTGCAGAGGGCTGGTACACAGAACGATTAAAAGCTACGTTATTCAACCAAACAAACCAAACCCTTAAACACATTTTTAGCAGACCATTGGTTTCTTTCTCCCATTCGTCACCATCGACCTTAAACAAATCACCATTGCGAACCTCTATTTTAACCGGTAATTTTTTTTTTTTTAGTTTACTATATTATTTACAATATTCAATAGAGAATTTTTGTTTTTTGGTTCCTTAATATTGACATATGCGTTTATATATTTTCATTAACATCATCGTCAGCATAGTCATCCAAAATTCTATTCATATTGCAAGTATGCTATTTTTATGTAGTACACATTAAATATTGTGGTTTGCTGAACCTTGTTGACTGATATTATATTGTCGAATGATATTGTATGATATTGGGGGTCTGAATCATATTTCATGTTGAATGGTTTGCTGAATCTTGATATTTGATATTGTTTTGCTCAATGGGTCTGAATGAAATTGAGAGGCTGAATAGTATGCTGAATGGTATTTCTAAGAGGTTTGCTGAAGGGTGTGTATTAGCATATTGTTGAATGGTGTGCTAAATGTTATTTCTGTACATAGTATGGTATTGGTTATATTAAATTAAGTACAATGATCAATTTAGAGGCTTATATTATGTAATTCGTATAATTATGATCAATATTGTAGGTATTATGGACTCCGAACAACATCATTCTCCTTTTAATGAACATGTAGAAGAAAGAAGTGTAGGCCAAAAAAGAAAAGGAAGGGGCCCAAATAAACAAATCAAAATGACTGACACAAAAATTCATTTTGACTTTAATCAAAGTGGGTAGCTTGTGTCAGAAGGAGCTGCTAAGATGGCTATTCATATTAAAGCCATCGTCCATCGAAGGATTTCAATTACGTACATCGATTGGCGACGAGTTCCTGATGATCTAAAGGATGAGATATGACAGTCCGTTGTGGTATGTTTATTCAACATTTTGTAAAATTTGTTAAATTATCATTTAATTGAAATTCAATGTGTTGATACTAATTGTGTTAACTTATTTAAGAACAGTTCAACGTCCCCATTAAGTGTAAAGAGATTGTGTTGTAATATGCTGAAAAAGCTTTCAGAGACTTTAAAAGCAGATTGACAACCAAATATATTTTATTATTGGCTGGTGAAGGTGATGTTTTGGCTGTTCCACCTGCAACATATGCAAATGTCATAAGTGTTGAAAATTGGATAAAATTTTGTTTAATATCGACTTTCAGAAGATTTCTCGGTATGCAAACCCATTACCAAAATAGTCCAAATTTATAAGTCTTTATTCAATATAACCTTTAATCTTCATATGTGATTGACGTAATTTCTTGATTTTATAGAAAATTAAAGAAGAACATCGAAACATTCGGGCCAAACAACAGTATCACCATCAAACAGCAAAAAAAAGATATGCAAATATAAAGTATGAGCTTGTATGCATTCACACATTTGTTTTATACTCATTAATGAATATTTATGAATATTCATTTCATACATTTGATTCTTTTATTACGATAATTTAATAGAAATCAGTAAGCTCAAACACAAAAGTTTCCAGATGGGATGTCTGGAAACAAGGACATAAATGGAAGGATGAATCCTTTGCAGATGAAGCAACTGAGAAAATGGTAAAAAAGATTATATGTATAATTATTTTTTTGATATAATGTATGATTGACATTGTGGTTGTATAAATGAGTGTATACTAGCTTGTGTAGATTTGTTCTAACAGCCCAACTTATTATTGTCTTTTAGGATGATTATGCTGCCAAAGTAAAATCTAGCGAACTAACAACCTAGTATGGTGAAGATTCTTTATCTTTAGCATTAGGAACTAAAGAAAGGCCTGGTCGGGTTCGTGGGATTGGTAAATTTGTCTTGTCATCAACGTATTTTGGTAAACAACCAAAAACCCCATGAATGAGAAATACACAATATGAAGCACTAATTGAGCAACAACAATAATAAATTAATGACCAGAAGCAACACCTTAATGATCAACAGCAAAGACTCGCTGCTTTGGAGTTTATGTTGTAGCAATGCAACAGGTTATGCCAATAGCTCGGCCTGATAGCATCGTCCCCGTACGAAAAGCTTCCGTTGCTAGTAAGGAAGTGATCCCATCATCTGCTACCACCAAAGAAGTATGATATTATTTATAATTTGAATATTAATTTGTTTATTATATTGATAGATTTGATTTTAATACTTATATTTCATTAAATATTGTAGGATGATGTTCAGACTCAAAGTATGACCCTTGCCCAGGCTTCCATGGATAAGTTAACAAAATATTCACTAGAGCATTTATCTGATGAAAACTTCATATCCATTGAGTCTGAGGAAGACTTATTTGATAAATAATCATTTTCTTTCATTAGTGTGGAAGAGGTGAAAGAATTTTGTGAAATGGATGAATTATCAGCTGCTGAAATCGTTACTTATATGAGGTTAGCTTATAAATACAAATATGCACATTCAATATGTAGTAAGTTAGTATTAGGGTGTAATACTAACCAGCAGTGTTGATTGTTATCGTGTAGCTTCCTATATAGAGAGCTGAAGGGGAGACAGTTGACGAATAAATTTAGATTCATTGACCCCAACTTCATTAGTGAGCAGAGTGGCACAGTCGTGTATCATGCTAATCATGTGATCCTATGCATGAAAATACCAACTGATTATTATTTGCTCTCGTATAATGCGCAGTAAGCTATATTCCAACTTTAATTACTCCAACCTACTCCATTCTATGATCTGATGTGTATTCTGAGTATATCATTATTATTATTTTGCAATCGTCATTGGGTGCTTATTGTGATTGAAACCAAATCCTTAACGTCATACCTTCTTAATTCAGTTAATCCAATGGTGATGCCTAACCCCGATATTCAAACTTTTATAAAAAGGTATTACAGTACTTTATTATATTATATATGTTTTGTTTCTTCATAAGTAATTTTATTTATGTTCCCACTAATTTTTTTTCTTTTCAATTTAGGGTAATATATGCACTTAATAAAAAGATAAAGAAACCGAAATGGGTGTCATTACCGGTAAATATGAAATATATTCTCTTAATGTTGAGTTTGTGTAGATAAATATTTTCTAAACCGACTCAATTTAATTTTTAGGTACCTCATCAATCCGATAATACTAAATGTGGATATTATGTCCTTCATTTTATGCGAGAGATAGTATTACATGATTTTATGACCACACCATAAAGGTTAGTATAAATTTCATAAACTCGTTATATATTCAAAAAAATAAAATGGTACATAATGTTCTCATTTCTTAACATTTACTTTGATATATTTTTTTAGTGGAAAGGTAAAGAAAGCTTTACGGAAGAGGAGCTAGATGAAGTCCGTAAAGAATGGATGATTATGTATTGTCATTTATCAATGTTGATAAACCTTTAGGTTAGATATTGTTGGTTGAATGTAAATATATATGAAACAAATTGTTATAATATTTTTAACATGCCATGTTGAATGGAAACTTTAAGTTTGTACATTGGGGGTATTGGTTTAATATTATTGTTATACTTAATATGAATACACTATGTGTACTTAATAAATTACTAAGTACGATTATTTCATAAAAGTATATTAATATGACAACGTTATCAGTTTTAATTTTGGATGTGTGGTTAATTTATTGAAATACAACAATATTCATTATGTAAATTCCAAAATGTAATTCATAATATTTGATATATAAACCAAATGTTTTCTGGGCATAAATATACAACTAACAGCAAACATTTTTTTGGGCATAAACCTACAACTGACTTCACATATAAAATATTAAATATGTTTTTTTGATGCGATTAATGAAGGCTTTTTTAGTAAGAAAACGCCTTCAATCACCCATAATAGAAAACATTGAAGGCATTTTTTTTATCAAAATCACTTTCAATAATCCCCCCAGGAAATTATTGTGTGGAATATTAAAGGCATTTTTGACAAAAAATACCTTCAATAATACCAACTAAAAATTAATCGAATGAATTATGAAGGGCGTTTTCCTATGGGTAATGCCTTCAATAATCTCTAACAAAATGTTTATGAAGGCATTTTTGGATATAGCCGCCTTCAATAATCAGACCATTAAAATTTATCGTTGGGAATATTAAAGGCGTTTTGAGCCAAAAACGCCTTCAAGCATCCCATCCAAGTTTTGTCTATGAAATATTGAAGCCATTTTTTACAAAATTGCCTTTAAAAATCACTAAAAAAATTTACTAATTAGATTATAGAAGGTGAGTTCGGCGAGTTCGGCCAAAAATGCCTTCAAGAATCGACTCCATATTTTTCCTATGTATTATTAAAGGCGTTTCTCCATAAAAAACGCCTTCAATATTCTAAAATTTTTTTAAAGCAATTGGTGAAGGCGTTTTTGCCAAGAAAATGCCTAGAATAATCAATAACAAATAATCTGTGCAAAAAACCCAAAAAAGGCTAAAGGATGGATCAAACCAACAATTTTATGATAAACATTCGTACGATCCAAACAATTTGATAAGCTTAATATTGAATGTATTTTTGAACAAAATAAATTCAATAAGCCTATGAAATTTTTTTGTCTAAATATTAAAGGCGTTTCTTGTAGACAGTGCTTTTATTAATCTCATATAATTTTTTATGACGTGATTATTGAAAGCTTTGTTTGCCAAAAATACACCTTAACTATTCACTGAAATTTTTAATAAAAAATATTCAAGGCATTTTAGTCAAGAAACGCCTCTAATATCAAGTCTTGGGTGACGTTCATAAGTAACAACGACGCTATTTGAATATTTAATGATGTTTGGTAATAAATGCCTTAAGTTTTATAAAAATACGGAAGTTAGTGGCATTTATAAGTGAAAGCCGCTACAAAACTGCCACTAATATGCCATTTTGCTGTAGTGTATGAATTTTTCATACCTTGCACGCTGAACCTGCTATGCTAACTCCGTTAAGAGAAAACGAAAGCTACAAAGATCCTTAACAGCCCCGTCATTGAGATAACATATCTTCAATAGGTCTATGGCTTCTTTCATATTCACGTGTGCAAGAAGACCTAATTTCTCTAAACTCGCATGATTTTTCTTTATGAATTCCAATACATTATTATTTATCAACAATCCTTGTGACTGAAGTCTATTCAAGATTTGGCACATTTCCTTGTACATAGGATCATGTAAGTGAATATTGAAATTGTGTATGTCACGGGATGATATAACTCTAAAGGAAGATTGAACTTTAAACTGATTATATAAATCATTGGAAGGATTGAAAAAGTAACCTCCTCTAATATCCGAAAACATTCTTGGCATCAAACATTTAGATTTCCAATCTAACGGCTTGCAAACCATAGGAAGATTCAGTTTAACTGGGAGAAGGCAACAGTTAAAATTACATATTACGAATGAGTTTAATGGGTAATATCCTTTTCCTTTTCTTTTCACAATTGGTTTTATCTCCTCTGTTGTGCAGGTATCAATTACGAAACAATTTCTTTCTAGCATGAACTCAAGCAATTTGGTTCCTATTTCATATTGTTGAACACGACTTTTCTTACTACTTTTCGCTTGACTACTATCACTTACCGCTTGACTACTATCACTTTCAGACAAATTGTTGATAATCACTGATTGTATTCGAAACTGTTTTATCTAGCCTGTCCAACAATGTGGATACCCTTACAACCGAGGATTCTTGAAGACTGTTGTACAACAATCCTAGCACATATATGATGATAGCCTCCAGCGTATAATGACCTAAATGACTAATATAACGATTATAAACATCTGTTGATAGGCAACTCTTTAAATGATCTTTAGCTGTGATCTGAGCATTATCTATCAATAAGTTTAATAACTGAGGAGTGCTTTTAAAGATTCTATTTTCATCGAAGTTCATAGTTAGTTCTTCAATCATGTTCTGTAAATCCTTTAACTCACTAGAGGAGAACTCTATAAAACCATCATTATTAATGGATTGATTCTTCTTAGATTCATTCAATAACATTATAACACGATCCTGATAGCTATAACAATCTGAATTCAATTTACATGAAACTTTTATCTCCCTGTAGAAATGAAGCCAAAATTCATTAATGATACGTTCTTTATCGGTTGAATAAGCTCTTCTGACATTGATATCATCTCTCCTCTCTTGGCTTTGTCTCATTGTCTATCTTGTAATCGTTCAATTCCGTGCTTCAATTGAAGCAAGCTCCGTCCTCCGAATCTTTTCTCTTCTCCCCTGTGAGTCAAGAAGGAAAGATAGATTGTCTTCGGACTTATCTGAAAGACTGTAGTTCGAACTCGGATTCGTTTCTTTTTTAATCTATTCTTTTTCGAATTATATCAAGATTGAAGTTCGAAAGAACTCTTTATCGTTCATAGTCTCTTCTCTTTCTTGTCTTACGATATTCTTATTCAACTTTCATACTTTAATCGATTCACTAAGCCAGATCGCTATTCCTGACTTGAGAGTCCTATTTTCTTTCACATTTTCTTATAAGTAAGGAAGCAATCAAAGGGAAGCGCGTTACTAGGAGATAAAGATCGCATTCCCAACATAGGAAAATCTTACCCGCCTATCGACCCTTACAAGAGAGCTTCGCCTTTCCTGATCCTGATATTGGGGAGTTTCCAGTAGAGCAGAAAGGCTTAGCTCAAAGACTTGAAAGAGCTTGTTAGAGGAAATTGATCAAAGTCAAGGGTCGACCATGGGGGGGAGAGTGATACAGAGAAGGCTACTGCTACTGCGACAGATGGTTGACTAATGCTCCTACCGTTACAGATAGAAATTTGGGTGATTGCCTGCCCATGCTAGAACCATGCTACCTTCCTTTACCTTCCTATAAGCTGGCTAACTAAGGCCTACGGACCGATTACCGGTATACGAATATTGTTGGGCAGGAGACAGAAGGCAGAAGACCTCTGGTCGGGAAGGGAACTAAGCAAGAGAGAGTTGACCGTTGACAGGGCAAGACAAGACTGGCAGCTCTAGATGGAATAAAAGTCGGGAACCTTATTCGTGGACAGACCAAGCAAGGGATACTTCAATCGATTGCAGATGCGAGAGTTGCAAGAGATTCCAGGAGGACAGGAAGAGAGTAATGAATTGGTAGACTCTGACTTTCGTGAAGACAGATCTGTTGGTCAAGTGAAATGTTTTTTCTTTCATAGTTAGAAGTATCTTAGAAACTAGTGCTCCACCTAAAGGCCTAGGCCTAGGGGTGGTAGTAGCTAACAGAAGTATGCCTTCGGGCCCCTCTCTGTCTTGGTAAGATAAGAAAAGACCGATAACTGAAATCGATTCATGATGGCGACTCCTTCCTACTTCTTGTGCCTTAACTCTCGCTTAAGGATATGCATGAATAAAGGCGTGTTGTCTTTCCTTTTTGCTCTTGCACCTCCCCTTTAGCACAAGTACTAAGTAAGCAAGCTACCTCCTGCTGCACCATTCCTGTTTGCTTTCTTGCTTCCAGATTCACAAAAAAAAAAAAAAAAAATCTTTCCAATAAGGAAAGCGATCTTGGACAGAGGACTTGAATCCGTACCGTATAGTAAAAAAAAGACAAGAAAGCACATAACTGACCATCTTTAAAGATGAAGGCATCGGTCTTTTCTGACGAGAATGGGTTGTGAATAGCATAGCATGGATGAACCTATCTTCAGGAATGAAAGCTATGTAGTACGAATCACATTCGATTGGTAGATTCCTCTGCCCTGAATGAGGTTTTTTCCTTCCGGCTGAGAGGAAAAGTGCTCTTCACTTCAAGCCGCTTTCAAAAGAAACAGAGGTTCATGAGCGTGAGGGCATCGTGAGAGGAGTCATAGGTAGACCTGATTGAGAGTCTTGAACCCTGATTTCTTCATAAGATAAAGGACCAAGAGAGTCTTTTCAGATATGGGATTTGTCACGCTTTCTAGTATGCATTACCTGAAAGGAACTTGGTCTAACTGGGACAATCTACCTTTGGGTGTGGATCCGTAGATTAACCATTTCACCTTCGAGTTGCTCTCCAGACTCAATGAGGTCTATCAGATGGGATTGAATCTCACTGATAGTAGAATTGAGGAGAGAAAGAGAAGTAGAACTCAAAGCAACAGAACTCGTCAACACGGACCTGAAAACGACAGAGTCTCAAGGTGTTCAGTCCAGGGGGGAGAGAAACTTGAACCCGGTAGAACTTCTCATTCGCTAGTTCCCTCGTAGCTTCCTTCTCTTCATTCTCCGGTCTTCAAGCCAAAGAAGCTTCACCGGGAGGTACTCGTAATAGAGATGCATAGTATTAAGAAGATCAGATCATAGTCTAGGATAAAGTAAAGACAAAGACTAAGTAATAAAAAAAAATACAATAAAAAAAAGAGTGTCAACAATAGGTATTGTATTTTGATTTGTCCCCTTTGTCCCCTCGGATCGGAGCGCACCATGGGATGCTTTGTGAACAGCCCCCTCTGCAGGTCCCGCTGCTGTTATATGAGCTACCCCTCTGTTCAATACCGATACCTGTCAGATTCCATAGCTGAAGAATCTCTTGGGGAGGCCTTATCCCCGAGATTTGGGGGAGTCTTTGAGTCGGCGCTTCCATAACATAAAGCAGAGTAGATAGCACACATAATGGTTTGCCAGGAGCAAAGCTCAGAGCTCAGCTAACGGAGTCAGGTCCGGCCCTTGACTTGATAATACTTATTCACATTGTCTTGCTGATTGACTGAAGCGGGAAGAACTCCCTGATGACCGACCAAGGGACTTAGCCGAACCGGGTCCTATCCTTGTTGTTCGTCAACCTTGCCTTCTCAATGTTCGGATGAACATGCATTCTTTTCGATCTTCTACTCAGATAGACTTCACACTAAGCCAATTTGTTTGATTTTCACGAATAAAGAAGGGGATAAAGAACGACATCTGTAAACTCGGATAGAGCCTTGTGGCATAGAACGCGGCTACTTTCTTTTCTTATGAAATTGATAGTTGGAGGCAAATGTGAATGACTTTTTGTTTTTCGTAAAACAATTGTTATTAATAATTTGTATATTTAAATAATTATTAATAATTTTTTATTGAAATAATTATTAATATTAAATAAACTAATTTATTATATATAATTCAAATTCTTAATTGAATTATAATTAATAATATATCTGTTAAAAATATATTATTAATATATTTAATATTTTCTATTATATAAGCAAATTATAAATTATATAAGCAATTATAATTTATCTAGTAATTAAATTTTTAATTATATAAGTAAATAGTAATGTATATTAATATATAACAATAATAAATAAATTATTAATGTATAATAATTTCATTACTAATATTTATTTAAATTTAATAAATAAATAACAATTATTATTAATTAAATAGTCATATTTAATTAATAATATAATTAATAATTGTTACTATTTTATATAAATTATAATTAGTTATAATATTATAATACATATAATATAATAGTATATAATTAAGTAATATTAATAATAATTAATTATAAGTACTATAATAATTAGTAAAAATCTTAAATTGTTATATATCATTATTGTTAAACTAATTATATTAATTAAACTATTTATATAATACATTATTTTATAATTAACAACTATACTTATTAATTGTATAACGATTAATATAATTAATTTAATAAACAATTAGTTTTAAATCTAATCATATAAAATAATATTATATTATTAAACAAAATTCAAATTTATTAACAAATTATTAATTTAGTACGATTTGAAATAAATAAATGTTCAAATTGTTATAACTAATTGAACTAGTATGGTAAATAGATTTATTTATTAAATCTCTTATTAATTTTTGAAATATTAATAAATTAATATTATTTTATTTCGAACAAACTTATATGAACAAAAACATTTTTTTTACGACAAAACAAAATGTCATAACAATTTGAAATAGATAATTATTCATATAACCTTAACTATTTGAATTGGTTCAGTAAACAAATTTATTTTTTAAATCTATCAGTTATTAAATTTCATAATATTACTAGATTAGTATTATTTTATTTCAAATAAGCTTGAATGAAGATAAATAATTGTATTATGACAAAACAAAAGATCAATTGGAAATATATAATTGTTCAAATAGTCATAACTATTTGAACTGATTCAATAAACAGATTTATTTTTTAAATCTTCTACTTATTAATTTTTCAAATATTAATAAATTAGTATTATTTTATTATGAATATTCTTGTATGATGAAAAACAATTGTTTTACAACAAAACAAAAGTTCATAATGATTTGAAATAGATAATTATTTAAATGGAATTATTATCTTATATATACTTAATTAATCTAATAAATTAATAGTGAATAATTTATTATATAAATTTATAAATCTCTTACTTGTTTAGTATTAATTATAAGTAAGTTTTGAATATATTGAAGATATATTCATTATATAAACATATTTATTATTAATATGACTAAATAAAGGAATTATTAATAATTTATTAAATAAATTTATGAAAAAACAAATATTATTAATTTATTATATTTAATATAAAAAATATATTATTTATTCAAATAATATATTTAATTATTATTATATATAATAATTATAATCATTAATTTTATTAATTATAAGTAATACTATTTTATAATAATATTATTTGAATGATATCTTATACATTATATTTAATAATATAAATAGTTAATAATTAATTATATTAATAATAATAATTATCTATTTTAATTATCAATAATTTATCATAAAAGATCAAATATACATTTTAAAATATTTATGATTATTTTTAATAATTATTTAACAAAATTCATAAATTATATTATTATTTCATAGCTTATTTATTAATAAATATCAATAATTAAATAATAAAAATTAAATATTTTAATTTAAAATTTTTAATTTTTAATTTTTAACATTCAAAAAATTAATAAACAAAAGTTATGAAAAAATAAATCTGTTTACCAATCAAATTCAAATAGTTATGATTATTTGAACAATTATTTATTTAAAATCATTATTACCTTTTGTTTTGCCAAAAAACAATTGTTTTAGTTCATAAAAGCTTATCGAAAATAAAATAATACTAATTTCTTAATATTTCAAAAATTAATAAGCAAGAGTTTAAAAAAATTAATTTGTTTACTGAACAAATTCAAATAGTTATAACGATTTGAAC